AAGAAGGCAAATGTCGTGCCGATCTTCAAGAAAGGTGATAGGGAGGAGGCACTTAACTATAGACCTGTATCACTGACAAGCATCCCCTGTAAAATACTGGAAAGAATAATTAGGCTACGACTGGTTGCACACCTGGAGAACATTAGGTTTGTGAACAAACATCAACATGGGTTCTGGACAGGGAAATCGTGCCTAACAAACCTTCTGGAATTCTATGATAAAATAACGAGGATAAGACAGGACAGAGATGGTTGGGCAGACTGCATATTTCTGGACTGCCAAAAAGCCTTTGATACAGTACCGCACATGAGACTGCTGTTCAAGCTCGAGAGGCAGGCGGGGGTGGGGAGAAAGGTCCTAGCATGGATAAGGAACTACCTAACAGGAAGGAGCCAAAGAGTTACGGTAAGGGGCGAGAAGTCGGACTGGCGAACAGTAACAAGTGGAGTACCACAAGGATCGGTGCTGGGACCAATTCTATTTCTTGTATATGTTAACGACATGTTTACAGGCGTAGAGTCCTACATGTCGATGTTTGCGGATGATGCAAAGTTGATGAGAAGAGTTGTGACAGATGAGGATTGCAGGATCCTCCAAGAGGACCTGAACAGGTTGCAGAGATGGTCAGAGAAATGGCTACTGGAATTCAACACGAGCAAATGTAAAGTTATGGAAATGGGACTAGGAGATAGGAGACCAAAGGGACAGTACACAATGAAGGGGAACAGCCTACCTGTAACGACGCGTGAAAGAGACCTGGGGGTGGACGTAACACCTAATCTATCTCCTGAGGCACATATAAATAGGATAACGACAGCAGCGTACTCTACACTGGCAAAAGTTAGAACATCATTCAGAAACCTAAGTAAGGAGGCATTTAGGGCGCTTTACACTGCCTACGTGAGGCCAGTCTTAGAGTATGCCGCCTCATCATGGAGTCCCCATCTGAAGAAGCATATAATGAAACTGGAAAAGGTTCAGAGGTTTGCAACGAGACTCGTCCCAGAGCTACGAGGGATAGGGTATGAGGAGCGCCTGAGGGAACTGTGCCTTACGACACTAGAAAGAAGAAGGGAGAGGGGGGACATGATAGGAACGTATAAGATACTCAGAGGGATTGACAGAGTGGACATAGACGAAATGTTCACACGGAATAGTAACAGAACGAGGGGACATGGATGGAAGCTTGAAACTCAGATGAGTCACATAGATGTTAGGAAGTTTTCTTTTAGCGTGAGAGTAGTGGGAAAATGGAATGCACTTCAGGAACAGGTTGTGGAAGCAAATACTATTCATAATTTTAAAACCAGGTATGATAGGGAAAAGGGACAGGAGTCATTGCTGTAAACAACCGATGCTCGAAAGGCGGGATCCAAGAGTCAATGCTCGATCCTGCAGACACAACTAGGTGAGTACAACTAGGTGAGTACACACACACACACACACACGCACACGCACACACGCATACGCACACACACACACGTGTGTGTGTGTGTGTGCGTGTGTACTCACCTAGTTGTACTCACAACTAGGTGAGTACAACTAGGTGAGTACACACACACGCACGCACGCACGCGGCTCACCAACGTCAACACAAGAGGCCACAACACAGGACATGCTCTCCTCACCCTTAGGGTTATAAACCCTAAGGGTGAAAACCGCCTACCCGCCGGCACCTTGACATTACACGAGTTCAGAATACAGTTGAACAATTTTTTTTAATTAAACATTAAGGGGGGCCTCTGACAAGCCGCCGGCTTCTTGCCGTCGCCAGATAAATTCAGGAACTTTAAGTTAATGTTTTGAAATTGAAGTCTATAACAGGAGACACGTTACAGAGGAAGCTGCAACACTTGTAACTGAGAGGAGGAATGATAGACATTTACAAACCACAGAGTCTATCACAGATTACCATGATAACTACACCGAGAACAATGCAGAAGATGCACAGTGGGTGATAGAGCCCAGTAGGCTCAGGAACCTGTACACCAGTTGATTGACAGTTGAGAGGCGGGACCAAAGAGCCAGAGCTCAACCCCCGCAAGCACAATTAGGTGAGTACAGTGACCATAATGCAGGTGTTGACACATCAACATCTGCAAGACGTTGACACGTCAACATCTACAAGATGCTGCGAGATGTGAACCAACCACGAGGGCATTATCAGGGGAAAGCGCCAAGCCATTACGACTATATAGCACTGGGAAGAGAGTCAGGTAAGGATTTGGGATGGGACGGGGGAAAAGGAATAATGCCCAACCACTTATGGACGGACGGGGATTGAACGCCGACCTGCATGAAGGGATGAAGGGAGCAGTAAAAGAACAGAAGTACACTTTACACCAGGCTTGAACACCCCACGTGCATGGGAAATAGGCTTACTGGTTCCAGAAGATGAGAGGACATGTCAACATTGTACAGAAAGGCCCGACACACCACTGGAACATTACCTTAACACAGCGCACAGTTACAAACCCGAAACACTGTGAGACTTAACAACACAGAAGTGGATCATATCCGGGGTGGATCTAACTGAAGCCATCATACGAGTCATAAATACTCATCCACCGCCTGGGACACAGCGCCTAGAGTAGGGCGGCCAGAGGCTTAGGGCCCACACAGGTACATTCCCGCCAAAAGTATAGTTGTGTTATCAGCAGTGATTGTAACAACCACGCTAGCAGCGCGACAAGCACAATACGCGGGATTAGTAGCCTGTAGGAGCAAGATTGGTAGAATATTAAGATTAATCCCCTATAGTAGCAAAATTAGCCAGATTAATAGCAGTAGCAAGAGTAGTAGTAGCAGTACTAGGTTTAGTAGCCTATTAGCAGCATCAGTAACAAGACTTACGATGCTAGCAGCGGTAGTGAACGAGAGGCAAGAGTAGTGGAAGCAGTGATAGACGCAACAGCTGTAGTGGAAGCAGTAAAGATAGCAGCAGCAGCAGCATTATAGCACTCCTTACATATATAATGTATTTTTTGTTACTTACGTTTATGATAATTATAATAGAATATTACCGGGGTATATAGGTATAATAGTAATAATAGTTATATTTATCATAACTCCACTCCCAGGGGCCGCGAGGCTTCAACTAGGGTAAAATAATGTTATAATATAGCAAAGGAAGATATCCAATAACAAAACTTTTATAATACAATAAATAGCATTGTGGAATGCAAGCACAGCCATATTCCACAATAATAATAATAATAATAATAATATCTTGAGTTAATAAATAGCAGGACGGATCAATATGTTTAGCAAGATGTGTGGAAGAATGAGGAGGAGGCGGAGAGGTACTGGAGAAAAGCATTTTTTTTTTCTACCACAGACGTGGCCAGACATTTACAATGCTAACCAGCATATATACATTTTCTTCTGTCCTCCATGGACAGGGTTAGAGAAGTGTTAAACATATAGTTCAAGGGTTTATTGAACACTCAACCACAGAAGGGGATTCGGTGCTTTTAAAATGCTAAGCTAACCTACATACGTAAATACATAGATACACAGATTTACGTATGCCCTACATAAAGTGTTTGATGTGTCTTTTACATAGTGTCATTAATGTACATTCACAAAGGTGAAATGTAATTCTGATCAGCTTCCATATATACTTTATACCCATACATATACATACACACGCACATATACATACATATATACACACACATGCATTCACATACATCTGTCTCATTTACTCTGACAGGGTGAGATAGCTGATAAAGAAACTAGTGTGCAATTAAGCACTTAATCACTGAAGGTGATGAAGGTGCTTTTACAAGCTCAGGTTATATAGTTACATCATATATATACATTGTATAAATGATATATTACATGGTCAATCTTGGGTACAAGTCCAATATATCATCAAGTGTTCCAGTACTCATATAGTAACTACAGAGTTCAGCATACCTTAGCCCAGGAGGGCGAAAGTCAGTCAATATGGGACATTCTACAATATAATGTTCAAGAGAGTGCATGTTTTCTCTTTCACAAAGTTGACACATTGTGTACTCGACATTTGGGTTTTGAGAAAGCTGCCAGATACGTCTATATCCCAGGCGTATTCTGGCCACTATAACATCACATTGCCGGGTTCTTGTTTTATTAGTCCCATATGTGAATGTCTCCACACGATATCTATCATAATATTTAATGCTACAACTTTCAGGTCTTTGTGAATTTGTTAGGTCGGTGAGATCTTCATTAGATATTTGTTTAAGTATTCTCTTTGTCACTGCTAATGAAACACCCAAATCAATATCTACCACTGGTTTCCTGCAGGCTGTCTTAGCAAGCATATCAACAGTGTCATGCCTTGAGATGACAACATGTGATGGTATCCATAGGAATTTAATCTCAAATCTGTTTTCTTTAGCAGCTAAAACATTCATTCGAATATCACTGACTATTTTCTGGGTGTCACTACTATGTGCATTCAGTGCCAGGAGTGCACTCTGCGAGTCACAGTATATAAGTCCACTGCCTTTGTCTTTTAAAAATTCAGTGGCAAAGTATATGCCTGCAAGTTCGGTTTGAGTTGTACTTGATCATAGATCATTGCTTCTAGATTATACCTTGACATAATCCTCAAAGTATGCTACAATGTACCTGTGGATAACCCTTAAATTTACTTTAATGTACTTACTAATCCTGACAAATTTCTAATACAATTTTTTTTATACTCTTACAATGCATTTATTTTCTTCCTTACAATGTACCTGTAAACATTGTTTGTTATAATTTTGCTAGAAATTACCTTCTTAAAATTCTGTTAGATTAAGGACCTGCCCAAAACGCTGTGTGTACTAGTGGCTTTACAAGAGTGTAAAGCTTCAATATTCTGTACTCTCATAATGCCAATGTACCTTCTGGTATAGAAATAAATAAATAAGTAAAGCAGGAATGTTATCAGTAGTGACTCTGAGAGTAATAATAAGTTATGCAAATGGTGTACACAAGTGTCTGAACAATGTTGTCTTGTGTTGCAGATCCGCCTGCGAGTGCTGGCCCACATCCGGCCCGCCGAGGCCGGAGAGAAGCTCGACGATTGTCCGCCTACTTACGACGAAGTGATGAAGACGGAGGCTCCTCCCCCGGCCTACTTCACCGTCGTCACGGAGACCGTCAAGCTCGCCACACTGACGTCGGCGATGTCCTCAGTCACTCCCCCGGTCTACGTGACCTCCGTCAGCAGCCAGCTGCAGCAGGCCGTTGGCGCAGCGGCACGGGAGTACCTACAGTGTCCCCCGGCGTACCAGAGCCCCAGGCACTTCCGGAGAATCACGCCAAGAATACTGCCCACCGTGCACGAGGCCCGGCTGCCCACTGACACTGCCGTCACTGCCACTGCCGCAGCCACGGCCGCCGTCACCGCTGCGGCAGCTCTTGCCGCAGTCTCTCACATAGGGGGTGTTGCGGATTCGGAAACGCTAGAGGACCCCATCAGAGGCCCCATCGTCAGGCACCTCCGGTCGACGACGATAGCCACAATGGAAGTCTCGTCATCTGAAGAGGTCTCCTCTGGGCCCTCGACCTCCTCTCCGTCAGTAACAAGAAACGTCAAAGATCAAATTTGTGAAATTGATCATCAAACGCCATCTTCTGTCCAAAATTGTCCCTAATTGTTTGTATAACAAATTATTAATGTTTAATATAATGTTGCGGGTGTTGACCAATGTACAAATTTGACGTAGATTGCGACTATGTACAAACATGTGCCCTATTCATTACTATGTAGTCACCAGCTCAATGGCAATCTTGTTACCATGTATTATTAAGTATATTTTTTTAAGAGAATATATGTGCCTGTGACTTCTTACTCAGTGTGAAAAGTTAAGCCAATATTCCAGTGTGATATTCGTATTGATAAGTATGTTATATGTTTTACATACTAAGCACATATTTGTTACCATAATATATATATATATATGAAAAATTAAAAACATTGTCTTATTAACCGCAAAAATAACTCGATTATTTTAGAATAAATGGAAGGACCTTTGACAAGCCGCGGGCTTACTGTGCTCATCGAAGATACTAGGGAGATATTGACCGTCATGTAAATTCAGGGATAATTACCCAATGTAACATGTCCCATCCCTGGTGTATGACAGCATGTCCCAACCCTGGTGTATGACAGCATGTCCCAACCCTGGTGTATGACAGCATGACCCAACACTGGTGAATGACAGCATGTCCCAACCCTGGTGTATGACAGCATGACCCAACACTGGTGAATGACAGCATGTCCCAACCCTGGTGTATGACAGCATGTCCCAACCCTGGTGAATGACAGCATGTCCCAACCCTGGTGTATGACAGCATGTCCCAACCCTGGTGTATGACAACATGTCCCAACCCTGGTGTATGACAGCATGTCCCAACCCTGGTGTATGACAGCATGTCCCAACCCTGGTGTATGACAACATGTCCCAACCCTGGTGTATGACAGCATGTCCCAACCCTGGTGTATGACAGCATGTCCCAACCCTGGTGTATGACAGCATGTCCCAACCCTGGTGTATGACAGCATGTCCCACCCTGGTGTATGACAGCATGTCCCAACCCTGGTGTATGACAGCATGTCCCAACCCTGGTGAATGACAGCATGACCCAACCCTGGTGTATGACAGCATGTCCCAACCCTGGTGAATGACAGCATGACCCAACCCTGGTGTATGACAGCATGTCCCAACCCTGGTGTATGACAGCATGTCCCAACACTGGTGAATGACAACATGTCCCAACAGTGGTGAATGACAACATGTCCCAACACTGGTGAATGACAGCATGTCCCAACCCTGGTGTATGACAACATGTCCCAACACTGGTGAATGACAACATGTCCCAACACTGGTGAATGACAGCATGTCCCAACCCTGGTGAATGACAACATGTCCCAACACTGGTGAATGACAGCATGTCCCAACCCTGGTGAATGACAACATGTCCCAACACTGGTGAATGACAGCATGTCCCAACCCTGGTGTATGACAACATGTCCCAACCCTGGTGTATGACAACATGTCCCAACACTGGTGAATGACAACATGTCCCAACAGTGGTGAATGACAACATGTCCCAACACTGGTGAATGACAGCATGTCCCAACCCTGGTGTATGACAACATGTCCCAACACTGGTGAATGACAACATGTCCCAACACTGGTGAATGACAGCATGTCCCAACCCTGGTGTATGACAACATGTCCCAACACTGGTGAATGACAGCATGTCCCAACCCTGGTGAATGACAGCATGTCCCAACACTGGTGAATGACCACAGGACCCAACACTGGTGAATGACCACAGGAGCCAACACTGGTGAATGACCACAGGACCCAACACTGGTGAATGACCACAGGAGCCAACACTGGTGAATGACCACAGGACCCAACACTGGTGAATGACCACAGGACCCAACACTGGTGAATGACCACAGGACCCAGCCAGTTGTAGGTCTGCTGACCTGACAGCTCTCACATTGCAAGTTTCCCAGAATTGTTACCGTGACGACGTTTTGTGTGACAGTGTTGCTGTGCGTGATGACTGTGTAGTGTACACTACTACAGTGGGAGAGGAAAATAAAGTGGAAGAGGAAAATAAAGTGGAAGAGGAAAATGAAGAAGGCAAAATTATACCGGACAATGTCTATGTTCTGGATGGAGCAAGGAGGTGAGATCGCCAGAGCATGCAATGCTGTATGCTATATGCCAACAATGGAGGCATAGACAGCATGGCACTGCAGTGTCTTGTTAAGCATAATATGGGTTATTATTGCAATAACGTTATTCAAGTTATTGCACGTCATCTTCTGTTTGCCAGGGACAGTTAGCTACGCCTTCTCTGGGATGCCAAGGTCTGGTATATGTAGACGGCACCTTTAGAGTGGTCGGGAGACCGTTCACGCAGCTACATATCCACGCGTTCCTCCGCTCAGGGGATCATGTGAAACAAGTACCATTAATGTTTGCCTGTTTGCGGTAAGTAAGTAATTATCAAAAGAAGGCACCAAACCGGGAAGGCTATATAGCACCATCAAATGTGCGGAATAATCAGAGGGCGCTAAATATCACCAAGGATGCCAATACGAGAACAGAAACGCATAAGGCGAACGATATCAAAAGTATCCGAGTCACCAAGAATTCTATTGAGGGACAGGTGACCGCGAGGGGCGGTCGGAAAGCAAGACACACGCTCGTCCTGGAAGTCAGGACATTCAAGAAGGACATGCACGACCGTAAGAGGGACAATGCAACTAGGACAATAAGGAGCAGGGCGGCGCTCCATCAAGTGACCATGGGTTAAGCGAATATGGCCAATACGCAACCTCGCCAGAGCTGTTTCCCATCGCCGGTTACGGTGGCAGGAGGACGGCCACGAGAAAACACAACATTTAAGAGTACGTAGATTGTTACCAGTAACAGACGACCAAGAAGCCTGCCAACGGGCAAGGATGGAGGAATGGATAACCGGGTAAAAGTCGGAATATGGAATACCTTTACGAGAGATGAGACAAGAGCGGACTGCTTCCCTGGCGGCAGCACCCACGCTCATTTAAAGAGACACCAATATGGCTGGGAACCCAACAAAACTCAACCGACTTAAATTTACTGTGAACAAGAAACAGCCAATGCTGGATCTCGACAACTACTGGATGAACCGGATTAAAGAACCCGAGAACCATGAGGGCACTACGAGAGTCAACAACAAAGACAAAGGAAGGCTGACAACGAGAAAGCAGGAGACGAAGAGCATAGAGAATAGCATAAAGCTCCGCTATAAAGACGCTAGTCTCCGGAGGCAAGCGACACATATAAGTGCGATCAGGAAAAACAACAGAGTAACCAACACCGTCAGCAGACTTAGACCCATCGGTGAAGACAGAAACGGAGCGGGAATGAGAAGAAAAGTGCTCAAGGAAAAGACGTTTTAGAACCGTAGGAGGGGTAAAAGCTTTAGTGATGCGGGTCAAGGATGTACAAAACTGCGGACGGGGGACTCTCCACGGGGGCAAAGAAGGAACAACACGAGGAGAAATATGAGAAATACAAACGGAAAGAGAATCCTGTAGGCGAGATAACCGGACAGAAAGAGGGAGGTGGGTGAAGAGGAACAGGAACCGCAGGAGGGGTAAAAGTTAAAGCACGACAGAGGCGAGAGGAAAGATGTTGTAAGGATCGTGCAAGATAGCGAAGACAGTAGCGATCACGGCGGTCCTGGAGAGACAGGAAGCCAGTGTCAACATACAAGCTGAGGACGGGAGTCGAACGAAAGGCACCAGAACTGAGGCGCAGCCCAGTATGGTGCAAAGCATCAAGACGGCGAAGAGTAGAAGGAGAAGCAGACGAGTAAGCAGGGCAACCATAATCGAGCTTAGACAGGACGAGAGAGGAATGTAAAGCAAGGAGAGTGCGCCTATATCTGCCCCCCAAGAAGTATGGGACAATACCCGAAGAAGGGTAAGGGCCTTAGAGCACTCAACACGGAGGTAAGAGATATGGGGAGACCAAGACAAACAAGTGTCAAGGAATAACCCCAAAAGCTTCGCGGAATCTTTGTACTCAAGGGGATGACCATAAAGTGACAAAGGGACGAAGAACGACCCGTTTCCGAGAAAACTCATGGTACAAGTCCTAGTAGAAAAGAACTTGAAGCCATGATCGGTGGCCCAAGACGACACGGCATCAATCGCAAGTTGAAGCCGGCGCTGAAGGAGAGGCGAATCATCACCCTGACAGCAAAGGGTAAGATCATCGACATAGAGAGCGGAGAAGACACCTGAAGGAAGAGAGGAAAGAAGACCTTTGAGGGCAACCAGAAAAAGCCAGAGAGAGCGGTACCAAGGCGCACCCGAAAGGAACGACGAGAGAGGAAGCTGCGGAGAAAGAGAGAGAGATGACCACGAAGGCCAAAGGAATGAAGTTGAGATAGAATATGATATCGCCAAGTGGTGTCGTAAGCCTTTTCCAGGTCAAAAAGGACGGCAACAACGGAGGTCTTCGCAGCAAAAGCAGTACGAATATAGACCTCCAAGTTCACCAGGACATCTGTTGTGCTGCGGCACTTGCGGAAACCAAATTGAGAAGGGGAGAGGAGGTGATGGTGTTCCAGGAACCACATCAGACGAACGTTAACCATACGTTCAAAGAGTTTGCAGACAACTTGTGAGGGCCACAGGGCGAAAGTCCTTAGGGGACGTTCCCAGAGACCCTGGTTTGCGAACAGGGAGGACAACGGCATCGAGCCAGTCCTCAGGGACTGACGACGACTCCCAGATCCTATTATACAGACTCAGTAAATACTGAGACGTGCACGGAGGGAGATAGCGAAGCATCTCATAATGAATACCATCGGAGCCCGCCGCCATAGAACCGCAGAGGGCCAGGGCAGAACGAAGTTCAGAGAGAGAGAAGGGATCGTTATAGGGAAGTCGAAGACGAGTGCAGAAATCTAAAGGGCGGACTCAAGGACAGGTTTACGAAGAAGGAAAGATTGGGGAAGATGAAGACCAGAGCTAACAGAAGAAAAGTGGGAACCCACTGTTTGCGGTAGTGTACCCATACAACTTCCAAGGTCACGGAAATTATCGTTTTCTGTTTCCGTTCCTACAAACCATTCTCTTTGAAAATTTAAAGCATAAACTGTTGTATTATGTTATTTTGTGCGCGCATCATTATTATATTTATTTATCTTTCATACACAAGAGTTCTTACATTCTTGTACAGCTACTAGCACGTATGGAGTTTCGGGCAATTATTTGTAATATGTAATAATTTATGAAGTGCTTATTATAATTTTCTGAGAAGCGCCAAGATTTCTCATGAGATTTTACGTTCGACAGGATTGAACTCTTTATTTATTTATTTATTTATTTATTTATTTATTTATTTATTTATTTATTTATTTATTTATTTATTTATTTATTTATCTATCTATCTAT